TGTACAAACACACGCTCATCGACCGGCACACACACACGCGTACACGCGCGCGCACACATACACGCGCAGAAGCAGATTCGAGGCTCGTGTGCGGCCTGCGACACGTCCGCGACGGAAACGTATTTGCGGCGGTGTGTGCTCGTTACAAAGGTGGGGGAGTAGAATTTTCGTATATCGATCCGCGGCTTGAATCAACAGAAAGATACGTAATGCGGGAAAATATGGCCGACTCGAGTCGAGTTAAAGCCGATGTAGGAATCGAGTCACGCGTTCGGTCACGTGCTTACTCGCAGCACACGCTCTTCTCGAAGCTGCTCCCTCGGCTCGACCTCGTACGATTCCATTCTTCGGCGATTTTTCTCCTCGATTCGGGATAAATCTTCCTTTAAGTTCATTTTATTCTCGATTCTACGGATTTATCGTGCTCCTTTTATACGCCTTTGTCGATTGTCCGTTGTCGTACTTAACGTTTGGCACCGTGGAAACGGTCTGCGATGTCCGGACACTATGCATTTTGTATTATTTAGGAACGTTGCACAGGTCAATTTAGTTCGATTCAATGCAGTCGATTGACGCAGTAGGACTTTCGAATTCTTTAAGATCAACGATCCGCAGCAGTGCCATAGAAACTTTAATTTTGACCTAGATACTTGATCTCAGATCTTCCTTGTGCGAAGAAAATCGGAAATTGCAAGGATCCTCGGACGATTCAGAGACTTAACCCTTTCCACTCGAATGGCGACTCTAAGGCGTCATTAAAGATTGTTATGTCACGTTTGAAAATAATTTTATTAATCGAATTTGTTCATATTTGAAGAACTGTTGAAGGGATAACTTGTTGCATCAATGACAAAGTTCAATTTCATACGTATAAAATGCATTAGGTTGTATAAAATGGAAATACAGTAGGTCACAAAAATTATATTAAATTTTCCGTTAATTTGGCTTCGAGTGCAAAGGGTTAAATTCTTGCTGTACTTTAACGAATCTAACTCGTAATTTTAAGTTGGAATATAAAATTCTGTTTCTTTCTCCACAATGTTTCAATATTCAAGGAAATGCAGGCACACACAATAAACACGAATTCTCTCTTCTTTCAAGAAATTATTACAATCGAAAAACTTCTAGTCGTCATAACTGTGAAGAGAATGAGAGGAGCAAGTGGTTAGACAGAAATACAGTAAATTCACCCTAATTGACGCTCAGCAAGGAAACGAAAATGGACAATTTGGGAAGAGGAGATAAGATTATTCCAGCCTTGGTGCTCGTTTTTATAGTCGTTGACAATCGGTAATTATAAAAAGGAGCCGCAAAGCTCGGATAATCGAGTCTCCTCTTTCCAAATTATCCGTTTTGTTTACAAACTGAAGGGCGATTGGGAAGAATTTACTACTCGACTTCAAAATTCTTAGACGATGTCAAGTAGTAATCACTGCTTACTACTATAAATATACTATAAATATACCCGATGTAAATACTGCTGATCTATTTAAGCCAATGTTCGCAGTGACAGTAAATCGATTACTATTCCACACGTATTCCGTATTTTTGTTGTAACTTTTCGATAAAACTTTGAATGACTTACGTTTATGTAACATCTTTTTCCTAGTTAGTGCCATAGAATATTCTGAAAAATTGCGTACATTAAAACCTAGGACACCCTGTATGAATATGTTAAAAGTCATCGCTTGTATTTGTAATTACAGTCAATTCTCCGCAATTAACGCTCAGCTTGTACACAAAAATAGATAACTTAGGGAGAAGTAGATAAGATTATTAGAGCCTTGCGGCTCGTTTTCATAGTTACCGATCGTCAACAACTATAAAAACGAGCCGTAGGGCTCGAATAAATCGTATCTCCGCTCCCCGAATAGTCCATTTTTGTGTACAAAGTGTACAAGCTGCGCGTTAATTAGGGTGAATTTACTGTATTTACGAAAGCACGATAAAATTATCTTCCCCAAATTGCGCTGTTTTAATCGATCTGACCAAAATCCTTGAATTCAACGCAACTCGGACGCAAATTTCGCAATCGCCATCGCCTCGCTCTCCGATATCCTCGGAGAAAAGCAATTTTTCCAGACCTTTTCGGTCGGCAAATACACGCAGGGAATCGAACATGTGACGGTGCCAACCGAGCAATTATTTCATTGGAGAACACGGAATAGATTCGCCCGTAATCCACGATAATGCGATCGCGTAATGAATTACATAACAAAGCCTCGGGGTCACGGGGCGCGCGCGCGGTCGCGCGTAATTGTTAATCGCGACAAAGCGGGATAGTTTAATGAAAATTGTTGGCGGTTTATGAAAATTAGAAAGTATCGAGGTGTTCCGGCGGGGCATTTTTGCTGCGGCGCGGCGCGGCGGCCCTGCCAACGGCATTACCATAACGAGTTCCTAGCTTCTGCAATTTGCCGGGCTTCCTGCTCCCGCTGCAGTCCAGAATGCAGTCTCGAATGCGGCGCAGCGTTCGCGGCCCGACCGGCTAGTATGATTATTATCGTTATTATTGGCGACGCGACTTAATACTTTAATCGTCGCCCGGCTGATAGGGTAAAGCACGCACCCGATAATTCCGATCGAGATGATTCAGTTAACCCCTCGCCTTCCGGTTCGTTCCCGCGGGGAAACGCGCTCGCTTCTTCCAGCCTCGGACGATTCTCCAAAATGCTTATTGCATCGATCAATATATTGATATCGATAAATATTGCCTGCGATCGTTGCAAGAAACGAAAGTTTTGAAAAATGTTAAGATGAATGTTTCTCGGAGCTTTTAATTTCATAAACGGTTCGATTGTTTGGGGTTTTGGCCTACTCGTTTTCGTTAATGAAGTCTATGTATAGATATACATATATGTATGTATACGAAAAATATGAACGGACCGAATATGAATTTTGTTGTTCAAAGTTCGGCCACTTCAAAGCATTTTCAATTTTCGCCTCGCATTCAACGTACGTGTAACAAGCAACGGGTTTCGAAGCGGAACAATAAGGATTTTCGAGAAAAATAATTGGTCGGAGCGGGAAAATAACGCGGCCGTTGTTCCGGCGCAACAAAATTTTCTATATTCGATAATCAATCGGTAATTCCTCGCGGCGGGCACCGTCGATTAAATAATTCCGGGATTTCGCCGGGGCCGGTGTTCGCGAGCGAATAATAATGGCCGCGATTTATTTTCGAGCGGCCGGTTCTATTATTTAAACCCGCCTTCGCGTATCCCAGCTCTCCCATCTCCTCGTTGCATTTTCACGCGTCGGGGCTGCAGCTTTCTCTCCCCTATGCAACTTTCCAGCCCCCTGTGGTCCGCGCGCCCGCGTGTCCCTCTAACACGGTTACGGAGCGGAAGCAAAATATTTCGGCAGTGCGTGCAACCGACCAATTATCTCTCGGCCTCGCGGATTCATAAACATTTGTTGACGTCTCTACGCAGCACACCCTCTTTCACCCTCTGTTAACCTTAATCTTTCTCTCTGCACCTCCCTCTCTCTCTCTCTCTCTCTGATCGCGCGTGTGTACGTATGCATGTATATACGGCAGCTCGTTCCATCGCCAGCAAATTAATTCGAATTCTCGCAAATAGTTGGTTAATTAACCGAAATTGTCGCCGGCGCGCCGATAGAAACGCGGATCCCGCTGAAACAATTTGCAAGAAGAGAAAACAGAGCGTCAAATTAAGTGGGGAAACGGAGGAGAGCAGAAAAAAAAAGAATTGCTCGGCGCCGGCGTATCGACGCGGCACCGCCGTTCATTAATTTATTGATTATTTCGATAACAAGGACCGCGCGGAAGGAGGAGCATTTTCCTATCGCAATTTAAACAACGCAGCCGGCGAAATTTCGCGCTGTTCAAATTTGATGGAGGTATCAGTTTCCACGACCATCCCCAGTCGTAATTATTCGAGCAGTGGCGAATCCCTGGCTTCGTTACTGGTAAATGTGTAATTATTGGTGGACTTAATAAATGCGCCTATTGGAAAACATTTGGCTCAGGAGGCCCTGCTAATCGATCGGATGCCTTTCCAATTCTGCAATCCTACGCGTTCGATCTGTTACTATTTATTTGATTTTCAATCGAAATCGCGACGTTCGAAAATTCCACGCTCGGAAATACGGAAATTATATCGAAGATATTAACCGACTGGGGTGTCGAGCAACGATACTTCCAAGAAGGGGGTAGCAAGCCGATAAAAATTCAGTGACTCCAACTAGGGAATAACTAGGAAAATCAATCCAAAATTTTTGTGATCCACTGAACAGGCAGCAAATAAACAGAAGTGACAAATTAAATTTAATTAAATGTATTATTCGATGGGGATGTTGAACAAAAATATTTCCAAGAAGGGGGTAGCAAGCCGACAAAAATTCAGAGACATCAACTTGGGAATAACTGGGAAAATCAATCCAATTTTTGTGATCCACTGAACAGGCAGCAAATAAACAGAAGTGACAAATTAAATTTAATTAAATGTATTATTCGATGGGGATGTTGAACAAAAATATTTCCAAGAAGTGGGTAGCAAGCCGACAAAAATTCAGTGATACCAACTAGGGAATGACTAAAAAAAAAAACAATTCAATTCAATTTTTGTGATCGGCTAAACAGAGGCTAAACGAGCGATCCATATGTTCCAAATAAAATCGATCAGCAACACCTTGGCTCGAGGTGCGAATGAATACGTAACCGGCGCGTAAATTCCTGAAAACGAACGTCGACGAAACACTGTTTCGTTCTGGACCGGTGTAAATACGGAATAAACGTAAACGGAGAAGATAAACAGACAATTATCGGTTGTCGGTCGATTGTAAAAAATTGATTGACCACCGGCAACGGCTACTTTGACCGGGAACTTGGCTCACGGATTGTAATCGATAGGCTACTTTGTTATGGAAACGTGCACTGATCGCGGTTCCGAGGTGTACGTACGAGGGCGAAACTGACTAGGTAGCCTGGTGCGCGAGCATATAATTGGACCGGTTCGTTTTGGTTTTGATTGCAGCGTATTGGCCACGGGGCGACAGCGCAGCTTCGTCGCTTTTCGGTGGAATGCCCGGCGGATATGGGTTGGGGGCCCACCATTTGCCGTCGGCTTACGCCATCCTGGGCCGAGGTGGCTCTGCTCCCGGTTTTGGGGGCCACACGCCGGCCTCGGCGCCACCGCCACCCCCGTACTCCCATAGCAGCCTCGGCACTCTGAGCGTGGCTGCCAGTCAAGCTGCGAGTTTAGGTAATTAACCGTTTTCATTATTTTCTACTTTTAACAATCCCATAGTTTCGTATCGATCGTTTTGCTTAACTTAACCAGTTACAGTAATGTCTCTCTAATTGACGCTCAGATTGTCCATAAAAATGGACAATTTAGGGAGAGGAGATACGATTATTCGAGCTTCGCGGTTTGTTTTTATAGTTACGAATTGTCAGCAATTATAAAATTATTATATAGTTAATCATATAATCGCATCTCCTCTTCTCAAATTGTCCATTTTTGCGCACAATCTGAGCGCCAGTTAGGAAAACATTACTGTAGTCGTTTTCGACGAGCATACTCGCCTTGACGCGAAGTGTTGCCATTTCGCCGCGACGTGTGTACTCGTCGAAAACGATCAACCGGTTAAGAATTATATCTAGAATTTATCTATTCAATTATATCAATTGAATTATATATTTTATAAAAGTATCGTATTTAAACGAAACAAGAAGAAAATCAAACGTATACAGTATATAATTACTAGATCTCGGATTTCATGCATTTTTGGTAAAATGAATTTTGAACTGTCAATAAATTATTGTTAATTTATTAGAATTATTCGAGAAGAAAAAAAAGAACGTTCTATGTAATTTTATATTTCTCGCAGTTGATACAGGCAATTTCTATACTGCACGGAAATCCTTGGTCTAATAATTCCATTAACGCTTTTCAAAGAGATCGCGGCAGCTAACTGGTTAATTATTACATTTACGTACGGTTGTGTACAGGTATAAATCCTGCGAGCGCAGCATGGTGGACGATGGCCTCGCACCTGGCGGCACACGACTACCTCGCGAGGTTACAAGGAGCGGCAGGACTCCCTGGGTTTCCACCTGGTGCCGAGAGCCTCCTGCCACCCTATCCTGCCTCTCTACTTAATCCCCCGTCCCTCTCATCTCACAAGTCCAGTAAGTGTAAGTATCGCAACGGTTATTTCGTTTTACAACAAACTCTTATTCTTTGACCTATGCCATTATACGAACCCGCCGCGAGAACGTTCTTACGAGTATATATAATTTTCAATTTCTGCCTCGTTGCCCATATAATTTAATCAACGCGTTGACCGCCGGTTACAGGCGGACGTCAAAATCCTTTCTTCGCTCTTATCGATTTTTCCGATCTAAAACGTTCTTTTTCCGAGTTACAGTAATGTCTCTCTAATTAACGCTCAGATTGTCCACAGAAATGGACAATTTAAGGAGAGGAGATACGATTATTCGATCCCTGCGGTTCATATTTATAGTCACGAATTGTCAACAACTATAAAAACGAGCTGCAAGGCAATCTGAGCGTCAGTTAGGGAGACATTACTGTACTTTGATTTCGCGGTGGACAGTGCGTTTCATATACAGGATGTTCCAAAAATGTCTCGCAATCCGAAAGTGGCGGGTTCCTCAGTCATTTGAAGCAACTTTTTCCTTTACAACAATTTTCTCCGAGACACCGTTAACGAGTTATTAACGAAAAACAGTGACCAATAAGAATCGAGTACGGCTGACGCGAGGCGGCCCAGCCAACCAGCGCACGAAGCCCAGTTCGCGAAAGCTGAGCTGGGATTCGACCGCTCGACCGCTGGCGCCGTTGGCTCGACCGCCTCGCAAAAGCTGAGCTGGGCTTCGACCGCTCGACCGCTGGCGCCGTTGGCTCGACCGCCTCGCAAAAGCTGAGCTGGGCTTCGACCGCCTCGACCGCTGGCGCCGTTGGCTCGGCCGCTTCACGCCAGCTGAGCTGAGCTTCGACCGCCTCGACCGCTGGCGCCGTTGACTTGGCCACCTTGCGGCAGCTGATCTCGCCTCTCATTGGGCACTGTTTTTCGTTAATAACTCGTTAACGGTGCCTCGGAGAACATTTTTGTAAAGGAAGAAGTTGCTTCAAATGATCCGAGGAACCCGCCATTTCCGGATTGTGAGACATTTTTGGGACACCCTGTATAATTTTCTATTTCTGCCTCGTTGCCTATATAATTTAATCAACGCGTTGACCGCCGGTTACAGGCGGATCCTTTCTTCGCTCTTATCGATTATTCCGATCTAAACGTTCTTTTCCCGAGTTACTTTGATTTCGCGGTAGACAGTGCGTTTCATATATTTTATCGGTTGCAAAGTTTTCGTCGGTCTTCCACAAGAATTTTCTTATCGACTTCCGACAGTTTAGCTTGCAAAGGCGCGATGATACCGTGACACAGTGAACCCTTCAGAGTCTGTAGGATCGTTGTATTCAAAACAGTCATCGAAACACAGTCGCACCGCTTAATAAACACGTAGTGTCAACTCTGGTAATTGCATCGCCACTTCTAGCGCATCCAGAGGTTAAATTCCATGGGGCGTTGCGTTTCAGTCCCTCCGATAGTCAGTCAGTGGGATAAAGTTGAGAAGACAGTACTCACTGTCCCCTGTAATCATGTTAGCAGTCCCGACCCTGACTATAAATTAAACTCACGCTGACAACGACCGGTCGTGCAACTATGTAGCTGCTCCTGCAAAACATTCTACCTCGCGTAGTTGTATATTCATCTCGCATCTATCACATCGGTCGGCAGTTGCTCTAGCTTCGTTATTTAGCTTTTTAGCGGGGTCTACGATACTTTTAACGATCCCTAAATCATTTGTGAACGCTTTAAATCGCTTGCCGTACCATTTTCTTAGCAATTACAATGATTAGAACTTTCACGATCGCAACAATTTCTTAGACGAAAAAGACACTTCATATTTATTGCGTGTTTACGTCTACTTGTATGTTTAAATATTGGCGACACACATGGAAGACATTAAAGTACGGCAAAGGGTTAATTTTACACCAGCGACCTTTTCCCTTGCTTCAACGTGCCACTGATTTTTTCGCCATCTTCTCGAAGCTTAACGCTAGATTTACGGAACCATTAAAAATGACGGGTCGTTAATTTTTTAATTTACGATCATTCATATTCATTTAAAGATACATTAATGAGTTATTTATTCAGTTTATATGTTACTTACGTCAAATGTTGCAATAACACTTGTGAAAAATCAGAATAAATGAATTATTGTTACTTTTATAAACTAATATAAAACAGCTGTTTCTTGGACTCCGTAAATCTAGTGTTAAAAGCGTTATTGAAGACTACAATCACTCTCATCTATCATTTCTATCATCTCTGTGCGCGGTAAATTCTCCCTAGAAGGCCCGGAGCTCGGGATTGAAAACGGTAAACGTCAGACACTCGGACACGATTCTTCGAGCCTCGCGGCTCGTTTTTATAGAAACTCGAGTGGAAGTCGGCAAAAAAGGCAGCGACCAGCATGTCTATGTACATTATTATGAATACATAGAATAGATTATGCTAGAATAAAAAGGATGTCTTAACATCCTTTTTTCTAATTTTTTGCCACGATTCGAAGGCAATTACGAGGCCACGTGTCGCAATTCGACGATTAGCACCTACCTAAATCCTCCCTAATCTTCCTTCTGCTTGTAAACAGAAATCGACAACTTGAAAAGAGGAGATGTGATTATTCGAGCCTCGCGGCTCATTTGTATAGTCGCCGATTGTCAACAATTACAAAAACGAGGTGCGATGCTCGAATAATCTCTCTCTTCCCAAATTATCCATTTTTGTTTACAAACTGGGAAATTACAAATTAGAGAGAATTTACTGTACCTTATATAGCCCCGCAGTTTTTCTTACCTGACTCACACCCAAACAGACCATTTTGTGTCTTCCGGGAATTCGCGTCGCGTGCCGTATCACACGCTTGACCGACTCCGTCGACCCCTAGCATCGGCGTAGCAATAAATTACACAAGCGTAGGACCAGTAGCGCAGGGAAATTCACAGCAAATTCGGCACTTTCCGGGCGAAGCTACTGTTACTATTAAATTTGTTCGCTGCCTTTTCGGGGGTGAACAATGTTACCGAAGGTTCTACAATGTTCTCACGGTTCCTAAATTTCTCGTAGGCTCCGAAAAGTTTCGTTACCCTTCGCCGATCTAACATCTGCCATTTTTCGCGTTGCAAATGTGTACTTCGAAAGAATCGTTCGCTGCTGTTTTCGGTTCCGATGTTAACCGTTCGAGTCCCAAGCAGCGCGATCGCGCTGTTCAGATCTTGTATCGCGATCAAACTTTAGCGACGCGCGTACATCGCGTAGCTGCTTTTTTTTCATTTTTTTTACTTTTTGTTTCGTTCGTCAATCGTGACGAGCGCTGTCGCGTCGCTTGATTCTCTTCGCAATCAATTAACACTTCCACGACCGCGCTAGGAACCTCAAAAATTTTTATAAAATTAGAATTTTTCATTCAATTAAACAAAAATTACGAAGCAAACTTATATGGCATCAATTGCTTCTCCAGTATTCGTTCCTCTTGCAAATCTTAATAAAATTAAGCAATTGTTTTTAATTTTTCATTAACACGTTGAATGCCACTCCGGTTTTACAGAAATCGTCCGTGGCGCCACGATGAATTTTCTTTTATGCGATACACATATAATGTTGAAATATTATCCGCAATAGATAAGTTATAGTGTATAACCATGTTTGACATGTTAATTGCGACAGGAGTCACTGAATTGACGATGATAATAATACAAAATTTTAGATATTGACATTTGTTTGAAATTATATGTATTCCTATCAATTTGGACGCGCCGGTCACAGGTGGCCCCTAAACTTTGTTAATATAAAAATTATCTTAGTACGCGATATAATAAGTTTTAATGACGCCTCAGAGTCACCACTCGAGTGCAAAGAGTAGTTCTATTACTAATTCTTTTAAAATACTTTGAAAACGCAACAAAAGATTTTCCTGTCGAAACCACCAACTGAATACATGAATAAACAAAAAGAAAAATAAATTCTCGTTTTCGTAAGCTCGTGTTCTTGGATATTACGAGCCAGCGCGAGCTACAAATGCGCAAATATCAACTAAATGGAAACGTTCCGAATTATTTGCCTTTCGATCGTTAACAGATTCGACGAAGGCGAGATTCTTTCCACTTTGTAGACATAGTAGGTTATAATATCTCTATAATAGTTCCGTGGCATTCAACGTGTTAATGTTTTAGGCACAACGCGCCACTATAGTGGTTTCCGCGGATGTCATCTCTCTGAACGACGCGCCACTATAGCGGCTTACTCTAGTAGCTCACTCGGTCATCGTTTGAATCAAATAATCGTCTTCATATGCATTGTTTCACACTTCTTTTGTCTTCACATCAATTTACAATATACAGACTTATCTTAACAATATAACTGTTAACAATATAACTGTATCTTAACAATATACAGACAGAATATACAGACACTCTGTACAGTACATATCAGACTCTGCCGTCCAAAGAAATAGCCTCGCGCAGAATTCAGCCGTGCCTGAAAGGTTAATCATCCATTCGGCTATTAATCGACTGAATTTGAAACGGGGAGATCTCCCTACTCGGTTGGCTAAGTGTTAAGACAAGCGTTATTGCGCTGTTCGCCACTTTCCGACCGTGTTTTCTGAATACGGTAATGTCTCCCTAATTCACGCTCAGATTGTCCACAAAAATGGACAATTTGGGAAGAGGAGCCTCGCGAATTCGAGCCTTGCGACTCGTTTTTATAGTTATCGATTTTCAACAATTATAAAAACGAGCTGCAAGGCTCGAATAATCGTGTCTCCTCTTCCCAAATCGTCCATTTTTGTGGGCCATCTGAGCGTCAATTAGGGAGACATTACTGTAACCCCTGGGACTCGAACGGTTAATGCGAAAACGACGCGATATTGGAACGCGTTCGAACTGTTCTCGCGACGTCTAACGTAAACAACGGAAGCAGCGATTGAAGAACAGCGATTTAGAGGCGGCGCGTTATGTTTCCGGGGCCGCAGCTAAGTCAAGCAAGAGTCACAAGACGCCGGCGAACAGCAGCAGCTCGACGACGCCGAGCATGACGAGCAGCAGTTTGCCGGTCTCGACTCAGGCGCCGGTCACGTCCTCTCATCACAATACCTCGGCCAGCAGCACGCCAAATTCGCAAACGAACGTCGTCAGGTAGGTGAAGGAGCGCTCGGCTCTGCGCGGCCGCTCGTTAAATCGATGCTTTCTCTCTCCCATTATTTTTTAACTGACGACGCCGCGTCCGCGGCGCACTTACCTCTCCCATTAATTATTTTTCCATGCTCGCCGATACTACCCGCAGTTCAGCGAAAGAGGGCAGGTGAGAGAGATCGTTAAGAATGAAAAGTGCCACGGCACAGAGACAAAGAGAGAGAGAGAGAGAGAGAGAGAGAGAGAGAGAGAGAGATCCAGGGTGGAAGGAGAGAAAAAAATACGAGAGAACGCGAAACGAACGAACGACAGGCCGCGAATAAAACCGGGAAGAGACGCTGCTCGGTCGCGCGATCGATTTTTCTCTCTCGCAACAATTTTCTCTGCCGTATCCGTCCCCGTAAATTCTGTATTATCCGTCCGGCCTCTCCACCCCCGCCGTCGCCCGCGCCAACGGTCATTTAACTTTCATGCGGCGCTCGTGACCATGTAATTTCGTTGTTACGATTGTTCGATGGCCCTTAACGCCGGCCGAGCTTTAAACAATTTGTCTTTCGGCCGGTTACGCCGGCTGCGCGCGATTTCATATTGCTGTCGCGGATAAAAAAAAAGGAGTCCACCGAAAATCGACAGCCGGACGTCGTTCGTTCGACATCCTTTGAGCGCTGCGGGCTTCCCGGATTTCGTTCGATCGCTCCTTCGGACAAACCCTTCGGCTGTTACACGAAAATCCCATATTCGCCGGGTTTCCGAATTTTAGCGATTTCGCGGAACGAAATCGAGAAGGATTTTTTGTTATTTTATTAACGCGTCTTTATTATTCTATTCGAACGGTTAATCGGCTCTGTAGAGACTAAAACGATGTTCGTGAATAGGCAGGGATACGTTTCTGAAAAATTTCAAGGCATGTGTTGCTCGAGATTTGAAGAACCGATACTGACGATAAAATATTTGTTCTACCTGGCATGAAATATTCGAGCACCTTTTAAAACGGCATAAGTTTTTCAAAAGTGAATTAAACGTGCTAAATTTGTTCATCTGAACGTGTAACGAAAATTTGAAAAATGTTTTGTAGATCTCGGTAACTTATATCCACACTGAAAATGTACATATATTTTTTTCGTATCTTATTTAGTATCTTATTTAGTTATTATAGAATAAACTAGTCGCTTTAACATTTCAGAAAAATTCGAGTCATTTAGTTTTAATAGTTGATTTTAGTTTTAAATGGTTAGCTTATTTTTAATAGTCATTTAGTTTTGGTATCGATCAGTATTCACTATCCTATATAAAAATAAGAAGATCCAATTTATTTATATTACACAGTTTTTACTGCAACAGTTGCTACAATAACGTAATTTATTCAATCGTTTCCCATGAAAGTGTCTCTACAATTTTATTAATTGTAAAACGTGTAACCGATCATTCGACCGTGACAGATTTAATGTTAAAAAGATTATTACGTTTTAATAGGTGTACGAATGCTCTTTCCCAGGGGTTGTAGCAGATATTACGCTGTTACAGTTGCAGTCGCAACATTAATAACAAGTGCTCCTCCTTTTTTCAAAAATTTTTTCAAAGATCAATTATGATTTCGAACATTCAGCCTAATCGCGCGCATCGTAAACATCGTAGCTCAAAAGACCTAAAAGAAAAGTAGTCCAAACTCTCGACGTAACGCTCGAAGGATCAAGGGTGAAGTTGCAAAATTGGAAGATCGTTCGGAGATCGTAATATAGGTTGTTTAATCGGAATGCATTTTGTTCAGCGATCCTAGCAATATATTGGGAGGTGTGCGGCTGCCTCCCGACACGGAGATCATCAAGTACACGTCAAGTATAGTCGGTCCAAAGGTTCCTGGCACAACGAACCGCGGCAGGAAGAAGACCATATCCTTGGACACGCCGAGCGTGAGCGTGCACCCACCACCGGTGCCTGCTCTCACCGCTCATCAGACGAACACGACAACGACGTCGCTGATGATGGAGCCGAGAAAGTACAATCGTGCTACGGTAATTGCCACTTCTACGTTAATCTGGCCGCAACGCGACCTCGGCTGCGACCGTATAAATGTTCACCTGTCCCTTCGCGACGGTCTCGCTTCATATCAGTCTCATAATTATTGATTTATTGCAATTGTAATTTCGGTTTTCCAAATGGATAGCTTACAGAAAAGCGGTTCACAACAATTTACAACGACTGATCGTGTCGTTCTAGATCTTTTTTCTTTGTTTCTTTGAATGTGCTGCTTGATGCGACTTAATGGCGATTTAATGGCGTACTGCAACGCAGGGACTTGCTCCCGTTGGTCAAATAAATATTGTTATTAAGAAGACCGAAATTACTTTTGCAACAACTCAATATTGGCCGGCAAAGAAGTGGATATGGTTTAGGCATCGAGAAAAAAACGTAAGCTTTACCAAAGAACTCAGAATCTTTAAAAATTTCTATCTTTGTGCTTCTAACCTCAAATCTTGAATACTGTATACAGGGTGTCTCAGTAACTCTGTTACAAAGCGATATCTCCATTATCGTTAATGATACGCGGGAATGCTTGAGGAAGAAATTGTTTGGTTCGAAGGGACACATGTTATGGTGGAAATCATTCTTTTTTTGTAAAGGCCATATTTCTGAGATTTCAAGGTCATCGATGTTTTTTCAAACGGGATTACATATTTCCATCGTTATATCACGATAGCTAAGATCAAGACGAATCTAATAACCTATAATACCGTGACCTTCGTGTGACCTTGGGTACGAAAAAGAAAGAAATTTTTAGACATTTAAGGGTTCCAAATGAATAAAATAAAAGAAAAAAAACGAAAAAATAAATAGAAAACCGAAATAAATGTCTGATAAAGAAACGGAAGTTATTTCTGGCTCGACCAAATACACACCACTGTATTGAAAATTCGAGAATACAGCCTCGTTCAGCAACCACCCGGAGTCTTCGAAGACTGCGTCGAGTCTTCGACCGTGAATTCCGTCGTATCGAGTACCGACGAATGTATAAAGAAGTTTCAACAGCTGTTTAATCTACCGTCGTTGATCGTTGCCCTTTCAGACTGAGTCGAACGACTACAGGGAACCGGTAGATCGCGTGGAGGTGATCAAACTACCGGCGCACTCGACGAACGGATCCGTTCTACCGGCGCCCACGTCGTACACGACCACCAACGCGAACAGTTCGAACGATTCGGACGCGCCTCTGAATCTCTCCCTGAAGCCGGCGACGACGAGCTGTAGCTCGCCGATCTCCGGCAGCCAGCCGCTCAGTCAGCTCAGCAACCTGAGCCAATCCTTGCTCGCCTCCGATCGAACATGTAAGTGCAATCATCTCCATCGTTCTACGGAACCGACCTCTACTAACTTCAACGTCAGAGACATTCTACTAACCAAGACGGTACCGTAAAGCCGGCTCAACGTGAACAGAAGCAAACGCGAGTAGCTGGTCGAGACTTCGCTTCAACGAAGTCGAAGAAACAGCGGATCTGGCCGAGCACTTGTTCTTTAATCCCTTGTCGTACTTCGACGAGATAGTTGTTTCTTTTTTTTGAAGTCGGAATTTACTTATTTATGCACGCGAGGAAACGCTACATTAAAATTAAATGTAAATGCAACTATAAAAGTTTCCTTCTCTTCTGTGAAATTATTACAAGACTGCGGATTTTATGCATTTATGGTAAAAATCAATAGGTATAATTTAAAGCATTGCGACGATTAAAAGAAACTGAGGATGTTGATGCATTAATTTGAACTGATTCAAACGATTGGCAAAAGAAAAGTACAGTGCTCGGCTTACATGCCCTGCAATCGATGCGGATCATTTTTATTTTGCATACAGAATCTGATTATTATGATGAAAAAAGTTCGAATCGTTATAATTGCGAAGAGGCAAGGGGTTAAATAGACACTTGAATTTCCTGTGGAGATAAATTTAAAACTCACTCGTGATCCTTTCTCAACTTAACTCTTAACTACTACAGTAATGTCTCTCTAATTGACGCTCAGATTGTCTACAAAAATGGACAATTTACGTAGAGAAGGTACAATTATTCGATCCTTGCGGTTCATTTTTATAGTTACGAATTGTCAACAACTATAAAAACAAGGCTCGAACAATCGTACCGCCTCTTCCCAAATTGTCCACTTTTGTGGACAATCTGAACGTCAGTAAAGGAGACATTACTGTATTGCTTAACTGATGATATAATCGTAAGAACAATCGTAAAAAAAGGAAACGAAGGAGTAAGTGTAGTAAGTAACCCTTTCAGAATTGATATACAAAGTGAGAACAATCGCTTCCGATTTTTCGTTTACCACTTTCAGGTGAATAATAACGCAATAAGCGGTCTACGAGAGTTAGCCTAATAGCGGTTGAGCAAGTTTTAATGACTGTAGTAGTTAAGGGTCGATCGTGTCGCTTCCTGACGACACGTGGAGCCGGCTCGAACTTCCTCCGAGATCATCCTGATCCAATTCCGTCCAATCCCATCCAATCACCATCTGTATTTCGACAAGCTGACTATCTGAAGATACTGTATCGTTGCTCTACCCCATTCAGTCCCCTTTCAAATAGAAAAATTTGATTCGCGCCCCGCAGCGAGGCGAAAGCCGGGCCCGAAGCCGCGAAGGGTACCGCAGAACTCGGTGCCGGTTCCGGCGTCGCCTAGCCCTTCTTTGGCGCAGCTTTTCGCCGCGGCGGATTCCCCGCAACGGCCCAGCAGCGGAAGCGAGGAGAGCGAAAGCGCCAGCACGACACATCACAAGGATGGCCGGCCGAGGAACTTGGGCCGCGGTGTCTCCAAACCGAAGAAGAACACCGTAGCCTCGTTGCTGGCCCAGAGCAGGGCCCTCGGCATCAAGCCGACGCCGACTCTGGACCCCAGCGTTCCCCTGTCGCATCAGGTGTCCTTGCTCAGGTCGAACATCCTCGCTGCTCAACTGCACGCCACCGCGACCGGCCAGGGCGACGACAAGAACCAAGTAAGTTGCGAACTTGGGGCGAACTTGGTACACCTTGGGACGTGGAGAAGCAATACCTGTGTGCTGGGAGTACTTAGAGTTGATTCCTTCGAGAGCACTGGAGACGAATACAAATATTTTCCCGGCTTCGATAGCTTGAATAATCCAAATACAAATGAATAATCCAAATTCTTTGGCGACATTTAACCCTCAGCGCTCCGTTGGCTCCGCTATGGAGACATTTGTCATTTGTTCCGTAAATCCGAAGGTTCTGCTGCGGAGCCCACTGTTTTTAGCATGATTACACCGAAGATGCTATGTTTTTGTCGGTGTTGGCAATTGTTATTTGTAGTGAAAACGTGCTTAGCGTGTGTACCATTACTATTAAAACACTTTTTGCCCATTTTTATACTTAGCAACATAAAATGAATAAAATCAAACGCTTTCACAAGGACCTGTAATCTTTCCGCTCAAAATAAGACTCCTTTATCTCAGGCGCTTTGCTCCAAAAATGTGCCGGAGTTGCTGGGTAGGCAGACTCGAGAAACGCGTGGAGCGCTAAGGGTTATTTTGAAAAAAAAGTGAACCAGATTTTTTTCGCCGTTACCTCCTCGAACTTTAAGCCATGTATCAGGCTAGTGGCGAATTCCATTTCGACGAGATTTCATCTCTTCGGGGACAAAGAAATCGTCCAGTCATTTCTCTACTTCATCCGCTGATTCAAAATGCGTGTTAGACGAAGCTTACGTTACGTAGAACGAAGCAGTTAAAAGTCAGAAAGAATAATTGGATTATTTATTTGCACTAATAGAACGGCGTCTCTGGTCTGCGAGGATTCTAGACCGGGAAGCTAAGTTGTCCCAGCAGACACGGTGAACCCAGTTATGTGTATCCTGAACTCGATGGTCATTCCTTTTGAACAGTAACGTAGACTTCGTTTTCCGTTCAGTTATCGAATAATTTTTCCAAATGATTTTCCATCGTTGATTTGATTTGATTTGATTTCTGAGTCGAGCGAAATTTTCGACGCCGACGAAGAGGAAGAGAGCTACCCTGGGCCGGCCGTTCTGTTTTTTTCTCTTATGATTTCGCACTAAAACCATGCTCCCTATATAGCGGTCTTTGCAGGAGAAGATGAAGAACAAGTTACTGGAGGTGTCCGGCGAGGAGAGCAACATGGACGTGACCAGCGAGAGCGGCAGCAACACCGACGTCGTGACGGACACCGACGACGACAACACCGACGGCGTTTCGAACGCGAAGAGAAGAAAGGTGAAGCCCAGCGAGAGGGATCTTCAGGTTCCTCTGGAACGTGGCTGGAAACGAGAGACAGTGATCAAGGGATTAGGGAAGTCCGGTGTGATAAAGGGCGACGTGTCTTACTATAGTCCTTGCGGAAAGACGTTCAGGAGCAGTCCGGACCTAGCCAAGGTAGGTCACGTCCTTTCGGCAGATCTTGATTTCAATTACGATCGAAGCCGAACCGTTCTAATCGGTCTCAGCCACGCGGCCGCGAGATCGACGAGTTTCTTAGCCGACAATGCTCCGAACCGAGTGCTTATTGCACGATCTTCGACGAATAATTGGTCGACGAACATCGAGCATCGATCTTTGGATCGGCGGACATTTTTCAGCATTTATGGTAGCCACGGCTAGATCCGTCCAAATCTTTGCGATTCATTTTCATTCGTAGAACCGCTTCGATGAAACCTCTTCGTCGATGCCAAAGTTAACCCTTCTATTAGTTCCAATGTTAATAGTAAATAATTCCAAACGACTGCCGCAAAATTAGAATTAGATTCGGCGCCTGTTATCCGAGGGTTAACGATAGTTTGAAATTCACAATTTAACCCTTTCGTCACGGCAGCTCCATCCACCGAAGTACCGTCACTGAACGGAAACTCGCTCCAGAAACATGCACAGTGCGCATGGTTTCTGTATATATGTTGTTCCAAGTCTTAAATAATAACTGTGCCGAATAAAACAATCATTGTTCTCTAGTGTAACTAGCATATTTACACTTTTAATTTAAAAACACACAAAATTATAGGTAACATAGGTATTTATACAGAATGTCCCAAAAATGTCTCGCAATCCGAAAGTGGCGGGTTCCTCAGGTCATTTGAAGCAACTTTTTCCTTTGCAAAAATTTTCTCCGAGGCACCATTAACGAGTTATTAACGAAAAACAGTGGTCAATGAGAGGCGAGCTCAGCTGGCGCGAGCCGGCCGAGTCAACGGCGCCAGCGGTCGAGGCGGTCGAATCCCAACTCAGCTGGCGCGAGCCGCCGAGTCAACGGCGCCAGCGGTCGAGGCGGTCGAATCCCAACTCAGCTGGCGCGAGGCGGCCGAGCCAACGGCGCCAGCGGTCGAGGCGGTCGAATCACAGCTCACTTGGCGCGAGGCGACCGAGTCAATGAGCGGAACTGGGCTTCGTGCGCTGGTTGACTGGGCCGCCTCGCGTCAGCCGTACTCGATTCTTATTGGTCACTGTTTTCCGTTAATAACTCGTTAACGGTGCCTCGGAGAAAATTTTTGTAAAGTAAGAAGTTCCTTCAAATGATCTGAGGATCCCGCCATTTCCAGATTGTGAGACATTTCCGGGACACCCTGTATAATTACAAAGCCTAACGATTAAATGTTTAATATAATTAATAACGAGACGAAAATGATTGAAATATAATATGTAAAAACTAATAATGTAATTCTATGCGATATATTTGAAAGCAAGGATCTATACAAAGGCCAACATCGCCATTTTTGCACTCATACCGCGAATCCGTTCTTTTATCATTTTTGCTACAAATTACACATCCGCGTCTTCTGTATACACTTCATTTCGAGTGGATGCCGCATATATGCGGCGCTCGGCGCGAAAGGGTTAACGAGTGAAACTGCTCGGAGCGTCGAAGAAGAATTCGATGCTACAAGCACGATGTTCTCCGATCGAAAAGAGAACGAGCTAGCCGGTTGGAGCGTCTACTATCGATCAAACAGTGTGCGACTCGAACGGGAAACGTTCGAATGCCGTGTTCACGAAGCGACGAACATCATCTTTTTAGTTCCTGGAGCAGCAGAACCCCGCGGAGCTGACGACGGCGAACTTCTCTTTCTCGTCCCGGCCGTTGGTGGGCGAGTTTCTTCAGCCGACAATGGGCCTCGCGGAGGCGGAATTCGTCAGGCTGGGTGCCCAGGAGGTGGCCAGGAGGCTGGAGGAGCTTCGAGCAGCCGGCGGCTTCAGGGATGTGCGGACGAACAATCAGTACGAAAGGGAGAAGCTCGCGTACGCGAAAAAGTTGGCGAAGGAGGAGGCGCAGCGGCACAAGGAGCAAGCCAGGTCTGTACAAGCTGTTTGAGACGGTATCGACGCTCGGCGAAACATTCGGAGAATATTGTACGATGATCGGGAACCGTTTGCCGGCCGAATTAAACGATCGCAACACGATTGTCGCAGGCTGATCAAGGAGCAGGAGAAGTCGGAACGTCAGGAGGCGGTGAGACGAGAGCGGGAAATTCGAAATCAGCAGCTGCTCGAGGTAAGTTGACGCTCTCACACGAATCGTGTCTTCCTTTTTCACGTTTTTGTCTCGATTCTCGTTGTTTCGTTCACAAGGAATCTGTTCTCTTACTCTATTTGGGATACCTACTACGTTTTTTGTATTTTGTCCACCTGTCGTGCGTGTCGCATGCTCTCTGTGTGTGTCGTATTTTATATTATACATACATATATATATTATTTATATTCTTATTACGTATATATATATCTATATATATATACACATATACCGTTCCATCTATATCTATATCTACAATATATCTATATGTGTGCACCG